AATATACCGAGCTTGTGTTTGAACATGCTCTTTGAAGGTGCGTCAATAAAATCCTGTGGGAGGCTGTTCCATAATGGAATGACTCTGTGGGTAAAGAGCCAGTGACGAACTGGGGTGCGGAGCCGAGGCTTAAACAGCTTTTTGCTGTGACCACGAAGAGTATCTAAGCTAAATGGGGTGAAAAACTGGTTGACCGTGTCCGTGGAGAGCAAATGATGGAGAAGAGAAAGGTCCGCTCGAATGCGGCGGATGTTTAGGGGATAAAATTTCAGTGTGGTGAGATGGATGGGGTATGGAACATAGAACAGACCTGAGACTAGCTTTGTAGCTGCTCGCTGAACTCGTTCGAGGGAGTTGCGATCACCCACAAGCCCAGAGCACGCGATTTGGGCTCCGTATTTTAATAGGGGTCTTACAAACGTGCTATATAAAAGTTGAAAGTCTTCTTTATCAAAGCGAGGGAAGGAGCGCTTGATAAAGTTAAGTATTCCAAAAGCCTTTTTTCGGGTCTTTTGGTGGTGGCAAGAAAAGGATAGAGAGTTAGACAACCAGAAGCCAAGGATCTGAATTTGGGATGTGCTACACACATTGAAGGTGTGCGCGCAGCCTCTGCTAAAGGACATACTTGCACATTTATCATCATTTATTGGTGGACTCCAGTCTGATGACCATGCTTTGATGATATCCATGGCTGCCTGCACTGCTGGTGTGTCACACCCCCAGATTGTGACATCGTCAGTATAGATAGTAATGTGGACTGGGAGTCATTTATGCATAAGATGAAAAAGAGTGAACCTAGAACGGATCCCTGGGGAATAACTATTGTCATAGGGAAAGAGTTGGAGAAAGAGGTTCCTGCCCTAAAAGAGAAGGACCGCGAGGATAGAAAGCTGCCAAGAAGATTAAAAAGTCTGTCTCTAATACCATACATTTCCAGCCTGTGCATTAGTGGAAAATAGGGTACTCGATCAAAGGCTTTGGCAAAGTCTATGAAGATTGCATGTGAGATTTTACCATAATCATAGGCCTGGGTTAGACTTTCCATGACATATAGCATATTGGTGATGCATGATCTGCCAGGAACGAAGCCGTGTTGAAAGGGTACTCAATAATATGTCTCTTAATGAGACGTTCAGAAATTTTGCTGGGGACGCTGGTTAGACTTATTGGTCTGTAGCTGCTGGCTTGATGCCGGGGTCCCTTTTTTGTAGGTCGGCGAAATGATTGCCTGGGCCTCCCTGTTCAAAGGATTATGTTGTACGTTTGATCATGCCTATGCATGCCTTACGGGGCTCCGTGAAGTATACACTTATTATTATTATTATTAAATTTTAAGAGACCTAGGTTAAGAGGGGCGTTCTGAGCCTGGGTTACCACTGTAGTTACGTTCTGAAAAGGGCTCCTTCCCCTTGATCACCATTTGGGGTTTCGGCTCCTGCGAACGTTTTGGCTTCCTGCGGTCGGAGTACGGGGGAGCTCCTGGTGTTTTGCTTGCTTTATCTGCTTCACGCGAAGGGGATGAGGCGCTAACTGTTCTGGGGGTTGGGGCACCTTGCCTGCTTTGGGAAATGAGGCCGCAACGGCTTTTTGGTGATGCGTGAGTTTTAGGGACATCAGTGGGGTGATTGTTGAGCCCAGTGGCTTGTGTTTTTGTACGGAAATGACAAGTCCCCAAGGAAGAGTGGGGAACTGGGATCGTTGTTTAGGGGGGTTTGCCCGTAGAGAAAGGGCAGCTTGATGAATGGGAAGCGGTGGTGGACTCCCTAGGGTTCCTCTTTTTGCAGGTTGTAACTTCTCCTGTTTAGTGCACCTCCTGCTTAGAAACTTTTGGTGAGTTTGTTTGCTGTTTATGCAAACGGGTTTTGTTTGCTCATTATTCAGCCTAGTAGACGGTTAGAGGGAGCTCCGGTCAGCAGTGAGAGTAGGCTCATCGTCCCTCCCACTGCAGAACCTTGCATTCGGGGAGCTGAAGGCTTAAGGGACAGAGGATATTTTGAAGATGGGCCCATGGGAGGTCAGATGATCAGCGGGGGCAGGAAGGCGCGTGAGGTTAACCACAGCCTTCTTTAAACTTTTACTGTCTCTTTACCATCTATTGGGGGAAGATGGTGGCAGCCTTGTGTGGATGGGTTTGTCTGGTGCCACTCCCCTCACCAGTTTCTCATTGGACTGTATTTTGTGTATTTGTGTCATACAGCCCGTAACCACTGATGAGTGGTTAAACCCCACAACTAGTCCCAGCATCCGTTTCTTATGTTTTGAGACTAGCCATGTGGAGCTGCAGGAGGTATTTTTGGGGAGGTGAGGATTCCAAGGAGGGATTTTGCCTTCGGGCAAGGGTCTGGTCCTTAGAAAAACGGCCCCATAATATCATTTTCCTTGCGCAAGCTTCTTCGATAGTCAGCTTGTTGGCTGTGTCTAAGATATATTGTTTGCTTACTGAAAATTTCCATTGTGACATTGACAGAACAACACGAGTAGCGAACAAGCTCGCTTTCGATGACTTCATCCTCTGGCTAATACAGTTATATACATTTAGTAAATAACTGTGCAACAAATAATGTCAGAACAAAAATGCGTTGATTGGACGGCAAGGGAGTGGTGAAAAGTGGTTGGGAAAGAGGTGAAAACCAGAAACCAAAGCCGAAAACCGAAACATTGTTGATCCGTGGTTTCCAAATGGGGAATCGTGAAAACAGAAAGAAGATGGAGGGGGAAGAGGGAGGAAACATGAAGGGAGAGGTCACACACTTAGGTCAAGGGTCATGGGTTAATTTACGTTGAGTGTCGGGTCTGGGCCAGTGTCTCCCGTTTAAAGGTGCTTACAAATGCGATTTGTTAACAAGACGCCGAGAT